GGCTGGAGTGCAGTGGCACAATCTAGGCTCACTGCAACTTCTGTCACCCAGGTTCAAGCAATTCTCCTGCCTCAGCCTCCCGAGTAGCTGGGATTACAGGCGCCCACCACTGCACCCAGCTAATTTTTGTATTTTTAGTAGAGATGTGGTTTCCCCATGTTGGCCAGGCTGGTCTCGAACTCCTGACATCAGATGATCCTTCCGCCTCCACCTCTCAAAGTGCTGGGATTACAGGCATGAGCCACCGAGCCCAGCTCAATGTTTTCATCTCAGTAATATTTGAGATGAAAAGAAATATTTCCACATCGGCAATGTGTGTGTGGTTGTTTTTTTGTTTTTTGGTTTTTGTTTTTGTTTTTGTTTTTAGACGGAGTCTTGCTCTGTCACCCAGGCTGGAGTGCAGTGGCAGGATCTCGCCTCACTGCAACCTCCACCTCTGGGTTCAAGCAATTTTCTGCCTCAGCCTCCAGAGTAGCTGGGATTACAAGCAGCCGCCACCATGCCCACGTAATTTTTGTATTTTTAGTAGAGACAGAGTTTCACCGTCTTGGCCAGGCTGGTCTCGAACTCCTGACCTCGTGATCCACCCTCCTCGGCTTCCCAAAGTGTTGGGATTACAGGCATAAGCCACCACTACTGGCAGAAATATGCGTTTTTAAGAGCTTGGATCTTTGCTTAATAACAAAGAAATTTGAGTGACAAAATTCTCCTTAATTTTCCTTTCAAGATTCATTATATCACCTGTAATACTAAGGGGACCAAAAATGTTGTCTAGGAAGACATTGTAAGAGGATGAAAATGGGGATATTAGAGAGCAGGAAAAAAATGGATGAAAGATCTCAACAAAAGGGAGTGATATTCTTCAGTCTTGATGAGGCTAAATTTTGTCTTTGTCTTCTATAAATTCTCACCCTTAAAATAGGCAAAATAGGCATGTTAAGAAGGAAAGAGGCAGGTGTGGTGGCTCACGCCTGTAATCCTAGCACTTTGGGAGGCCCAGGTGGGAGGATTAGGAGGTTAGGAGTTTGAGACCGGCCTGGCCAACATGGTGAAACCCTGTCTCTACTGAAAATACAAAAATTAGCCAGGTGTGGTGGCAGGTGCCTGTAATCCTAGCTACTGGGGAGGCTGAGGCAGGAGAATCGCTTGAACCAAGGAGGCGGAGGTTGCAAGGTTGCGGTGAGCCGAGATCACGCCATTGCACTGTAGCCTGGGCAACAAGATTCCTCTA